GAGTCCTTCATCCTCGAGTCCTTCATCCTCGAGTCCTTCATCCCTGAGTCTTTCATCCCTGGGTCTTTCATCCCTGAGTCTTTCATCCCTGAGTCTTTCATCCTCAAGTCTTTCATCCTGAAGTCTTTCATCCGGAAGTCTTTTTGATTCAAATTCATCTAAAGTCATCAAGGTAAGCTACCTCCTTCAAGTGCTCAACCCGAGTTGAACGATTCTGCAAATCCCTTGAGTTAGGTGGATAAATTCTCATCGTCTGTGAAATTTCAATCCTAGAGCCCCAGTCACACAGAGTTTCTCAAGGCACTGAGTGGGTGTCACGCGGTGTTGAAGCCACTCACAAATCCACCGAGTTACGTGGATCCAAATCTTTTATCTCTCACATCACATCCTGTTACTCTCTTCACCAAGTAAGCATCATATCCTACTTGAGTAAATCCGCTTATGATACTGACACCTCTGGAATCGATAGAAAATGGCACCCATTACACTCAACCAATTCCGGGACACGATGACGGCGGCGGCGTCCCAGCGCGGTCGCGACTACACAAATGTTTATGCGGTCACTGCGCATTGGGAGGAAGACGATACAAAGGCTGAGCGAGACGTCGCGGCTTTCAAGCGGATGCTGACGGACTTAAACCTTGCACCGGCTGTGGAGTACATTATTCGTCGTTGTGACTCTAACCCCGGAAAGACATTTCTAGAGGCCGTGCTCAAATGGCTGGAGGAGTTCAAAGCCAAGTCTGAGACCGACCACAACTTATTGATTTTTCATTATGCGGGCCATGGCATGATGAAGCATGGAAGCTTCTGCTTTGTCGAGACCAAATTAGCAAAGAGACTCATAAATGCCGACAACTGTCTGCTCAACATTCTCAAGGATTCCTCCATCATTGCAGACTCCGACCATTTCGATGTGTTGCTTATCTTGGATTGCTGTTTCTCCCATGTGGCAACGCGGGCACCTGCCGTCCCTCGCCGAGTCTTAGAGGTGCTGGCGGCGACTAGCACCCAGACCCCAACAGCGAAATATCCGCCAAACCACACATTCACCGCGAAGATCGCAGAAGAAATAGCTCATCGAAAGCGGGCCGGACACAAGCATGTTGAGTTCGCCGACATTTTTCAGACGTTGAAGTTGCGTAGCGGCAAAGTGAAACCCACACACGAACTACTGGTTGGCATTGCGTCTGTCCTTCTCCCGCTCAATGGGCAACAAACGATCGACCCGACTCTCATCCCGCCGAATCTCACTGTTCTCTTCAGCATAAGTGTATCAGAGGATCTGAAACCCGAAGAGCTCAGAGAGCTTAGTAAATGGGTTCGCAGTTTGCCCCGCTTTGCCGGACTCACGCTGGACAGTGTCTACCCCACTTCATCGATGGCCATAATCATGCGCTCCTCTCTCTCCGTGTATGCCAAGTTGCATCAAGTGGAAGGATATCGCCTCATTGCTGAAAACGCACAGCCACCCCTCGAACTCAATCGTCTCTTACAACCTGCCCCATCCTCATCAGCTTCCAAAAAGGAAAACGTTCCCTTCCAGGGGTTCAAGCGATAAGCTGAAACCACTTCACCCTTGCTTACTATTCTTCAATCCGAACTTTATCCGCTCCTGTGATTGCTTAAATTGCTTTATGATTCAACGGAGTTAGCATGGCTTCCGCATTTTAAAAGCGCCACGGTTATTACAAGGTCTAGGGAGGCTGAGGATAACTACATGTACCTAGTTTTTATTTGAGATCGAATGCAGTCTTTCCGTTCCCACAAGTTATCATCACAAGGTTTAATGTCTTGAATTTTATACGCCCTCTCTAAGAGACATAGGAAACCATACTGGTCATCTCTGCGGACAGACTTAAAATAGACTTCAACGAACTCGAGAGCACAAAACAGGTTGTATGGTGGCTTCAAGTTAGTATCAGGTCTCCACTCCAAGTAGGCAATGAGTGGCACGAGGTTAGAATGAAAATGATGGCTGTCATCGAGGGCAACAAAGACTCCGCCTTCAATGGAGAGGATGGTTCGCTTGTGATCCACTGCAATGACATCTCCCCGAAGATGGCTGGCTTTGCTTGTAATGGAAGCCTCGACGGTGAGATCCGAAGGTGCATAATCGACAAAGACCCTACCCAGCGATGCAGGAACGTAGCCCCTATCCAATCTGCGTGTCAAGCCAGCAGTGTTTGCAACTCCTAGGAGTTGCAAACACTGGTCGATGACCGTGGGATGTATCTGGTACTGACTCCCGCCCGGCTGAACAACTCTGGACACGTTTCCTACCGCTCGATCTCCGCACGGATCAGCCGTGATGTGTCGCAACCCACGAAAAGGGGTACCGTAGACCATGCCATGGTTTACCATCGATTGGTACCACCTCGAAGCTGAGACATGGCGAATAAGAGGAGTGACTGACCGTTCCCCACGCTTTGGGAGACCAGCTCCTTCGACATGATGACGGACCAGTCCAGTACAGTGCTTAGTCCATGCATTGCCGTCATGAGAACTGATCGTAAAAGCATGCCATTCTGAATCCTGGAAATCATTGAGTCGATCGGGACGTAAAGGGGTGATTATTTCCACCCCGTCAGGCGAGTCCTCGATGATCAAAGGAACCCGGAAGATGACATCACGAAGTGAATAGGGAACAGCTGACGCCGATGCCTCGCCAGATGGTTGACGAACGGCCTCTCCAGCCATTGAAATGTATCCTGTAGCGGGGAAGACTACTTGTCCCTGGATGAGGTGGTCGGCTAACCAAGGTACAGAGTCAAGATGAAGCACAGTTCTCCAAGTTGGGGTTGCATCCGTGACTTCAGTGCATGGGTAGCCCAGCAGTTCATGGTATTCGCTGCATAGCCGCCAATCTCGCGATAGACGGCTTTCGCTCCAATACCGTTCACGATGCTGCCAGGGATAAGGGGCGAGATCCGAAAGGACCAGACCGTGTGGAATGACCTTCCCCAGCGATACCGCCCCTCCTCGACTGAAGACGCCTCCAACCACAGAAAATAGGCGCTGTTCACAGCTCGGATCGTCCCGAATGAGTGTTGGAATGTAACATGGACTGGACTTGGTCTTGTGGCCATGGAAAATCTGCTTCAAGGGACCAGAAAGAGCAGCATGCGGACCAACTTCAATCAAAATGTGATTGGTATCGCTGGCATCAAGGAGATTCCTAACTGCTCCGAGAAATTGAACAGGAGACTCTAGATTTGCCCGCCAGTAAGCCGCATCAAGTGTGCTAGGTGTTGTTATTGCTTCTGTGGTAAGAATGGAGAACATGGGAAGCATTTTGGCATTAAGCTCAAGGCAGCCTGCCACAGAATTCTCATATTCAGGCCCAACACTTTTCATAGCAGCTGCGTTGGTTAGCATGGTGAGCATTAATCAAAGAGCACTGTGCTCACCAGAGTGATAGGCGACATTTAGGCGCAGACGACGGCAAAAAGTGTCCGGGGTGCTTTCTCGAAGCGCTCCGGCGATACGATCGATTTTCGAGCATGGTCCGGCAAGCGTCACATTTTGCGGGCTGTTATCGCAAGCAATCTGGACACCGTCTACGAGATAGGGAATCACTTCATTTCGACCGAGTCCCACGGAAACCATATCCCCCCGGCTGTCTTTGGGTACCGAGAGAATGGCTTGACCGCGCAGATATGCCAATAGAATAGCTGAGGACGCCGAAATCGCTCCTGCTGCATAGGCAGCCGCAATTTCGCCGTTGGAGTGCCCGACAACCATCGTGGGTTTTATGTCCCAGGACTTGAAAAGATTGACTAAGCCAATCTGCAAAGCTGTGCAAAGGGGCTGGCTCATGTCCGGTCTACCCATTTGGTGAGGCTCAGAAGCCTTAAAAAGATCTGAAGCTCACCATGTTAGCTTAGGAAATGCATTAAGAGTGGCTGGGAAGGTCAATGTATTACCTTCTAGGCACCAATCCGGTGGCTGACTGGGAGAACTCTGAAGCACTTTGTCCAGTTCACGGATATCCCGTCGAAAGGCAGGAAGTCGATATAATAAATCTCTACCCATACCGAGCCAATGCGCCCCTTGTCCTGTTAAAACAAAGGCAATGCTGGTCGAAGGTCTCGAATGAGTACAAGTAAAGTCCAATTTGTCTACCTCACGGTCCGGATGGATCACAGCAAAGCCTCGGTGAGCCAAATGCTTGCGCCTTCGGGCAAGTGTAAAGGCCAGATCAGTGAACCGATTGGGATGCGCACACACGTAGGCCACCACCTGCTCAATGCGCTTCTGCAAACTCTCTTGGTCATGAGCTGATACAACTAGCAGTCGCGGTGAGCTGTCGAGGAGAGGACTGGCGTCAGGCCTGAGCTGCGTGCCTGCTGATTCCAGGATGACATGTGCGTTAGCGGCCCCAACTCCAAAGCCATTGACACTGACACGAAGACGCCGGTCACGAGGCCACTCAACTGCTTCGACAGGAACTTGAATATGTTCCGCATCAAGATCGATGTGGGGGTTCGGACACTCAAAATGCATATTCGGCGAAATTGTTCCGTGTTCTAGCGATAGAATTGCTTTTATCATGCTGGTGATCCCGGCTGCCCCCTCTGCATGACCAAAGTTGGGCTTGACCTGCACACCGATAATGGCCCCCTTTCCTCCTAAGACTTGACACAGAGCTGAGAGCTCGGCCGTATCTCCTGCCATAGTCCCGGTCCCATGACACTCGAAGTACCCGATGCTCGCGACGTCTACAATACCAGCTCTGCGATAAGTACTCCGAATGAGGCATTCTTGGGAGACTGCGGACGGGGTGGTTAGTATCGCCGATCTTCCATCACTATTAGCAGACGTGGAGCGGATAATAGCTCGAATAGGGTCCTTGCAGCGCAATGCGTCCTCTAGTCTTTTGAGGTAGAGCGCGTTGATACCTTCGCCCCTGGCAAAACCATCGGCATTGGCATCGAATGTCCGGCAGGACCCATTGGGCGATAGAACCATGCTATCAGACATATTGGTTGTCATAGTAGGGGAAAGGATCAGACTAGTTCCGGCGACAATGGCGGCACTGCAAGATCCAGTATAAAGCGCCTGACTGGCTTCGTGAATCGCGACTAGCGAGGAAGAACAGGCTGTTTGAATGGTCATGCTGTGCGAGACATTAGGACAATCATACAACATATGTGGATAGAGAGCTTGCCTTGGGCCCCTGAAGTCGAACTGATTGGAGGTACTGTTCGACAAAGCAAAATCCCCGGTCCCAAGAACTTGGTAGCGACTGCTATGTTGGTGGTCCTTGTAGGCCAGGCCGAGCCAGTCCTCACCGAAGGTACCGACAAAGCAACCGATTTCCTTGCCTTCCCAGTCGGTCTCTCCAGCATTTTCCAAACATTCCCATACTACTTCCAACAACAACCTCTGTTGAGGGTCCATTCGGGACGCCTCTTGATGGGTTATTGAAAAAAAGTGAGCATCAAAAAGCGCCGGGTCTTCGTTGAGGAAGTATCCATATCGAGTTTTGCTGGCGTGAGGCCGCGCTGGATCATAATAACCATTGATGTCATATCGAGTCCGAGGCACCTCACCACGAGCGTCGCGTTTATTCATGATGAAGTCCCAGAATGACTCTGCGGTGCAAACATCCCCGGGTAACCTCATTGCCATTCCCACCACTGCAACTGGGGTAGGGACATCGTGAGTGCCGGCTTCACTCATCGGAGCAGTGGTAAACACAGGCCGTGATGTCTGTGACGCGCGTTCAGTTTCCGGTACTGCGCTTGTTTTTGGAGAGAAAGACTCCATAAACTATACAAATGGTAATTTGACTCTAAGATTGACCGGTCTGAGTATCTGCTGTCCCCTCACAGGTAGTCAAGGCCGTCGCCTGATTTTATCGGGAGACAGCCGCACGCACGCGCAATGAACGCTCAGGCACGTGTGTGACACAGCACACCTCGCCTTTGCATTTTGCCTTTCCCGTTCATCTGTATAACCTGTGAAGGTTCGGCGCTTTTTCCTTGTGCGCCCCATTCTCATATCAGAAGTGACTTGAACGAGCGCCGCTCTGTCAGAGTGGGCATTATAAGGAAGTTCGAAAGTCAAGAGACTCTGGCCAGGCATCGCCGTCGGGTTAGTGCCGGCCGTCACCGCTTCCTTATGTATAGCATCTCATCACGCAGCAATAGGGCTCAAAACAACTCTCCTTCTCCCCGCCAGAATATGGACCATCCTGTTCGACCTGAGAGCTGGTACCAAGACCATGTGATACTATTGATTGGAGGAACCGGTACACTAGGAGGGTGTCTCCTCTACAAGCTGTCTGTAATACTGCCTACCAAGAAGATCATTGTTCTTTGTCGCAAGAGCGTCCAGCACGCGGTCGACAAGATCGAGCAATCCATGCCCGAGCAGTCCGGCCCAATTCTCGACAGTCAGAGGGTTGAATTCATTGTAGGAGATACCAGCAGAGCAGACCTGGGTCTTCGTTCAGGGGAACTGAAACGGTTGCGAGAAGAGGTGACCGTGGTCATTCATTGCGCGGCGAATGTTTCGTTACAACAGGAGCTGCGGGCATCAGTTGCTCAGCACTGCGTCTCCCACATCCTATTCCTTGACCTTTTAGCCGGGTTTCATCGACTGCAGGCTCTTCTTTACCTATCTACTGCCTATGCCAACAGCTTTCTACCTGCGGGCCGAACTTGCGAAACCGTTTACGAGATTCCTGACTGCGACCCCCCTCTGCAAGACGTCGCCCGAGAAATTCAGCTCATTCTCGAGACTGGACCTCACCATATGCCTCCAAATTTGCAGCGCCTTATACGTATGCCAAATACCTCGCGGAGCGACTCACGCTTGAGCGCAAGGCACAGTATGTCGTTCTCATTGTACGCCCATCCCAGATCGGCCCGGCAATCGCCCAGCCATTCCCATACTACGGGTTCAACATGACCATCCCAATGCATTCCTATTTCAAATATCTGCTTGGCAGCACAGAGCACAGCATAAAACGAGTCATCACTCAGACTGAGAATATTCGTGATGTCTGTGACGAGGTTCCTGTAGATCTGGTCGCTAATATATGCCTGCTGCACCTCGCTCTCGGGACCCAAGGGATTGTGCATGCGGCATCGGCGCTTTATGTCTCATACACCTCAGCCGACATCGTAGACTTGTTTAGAACTTATGTTCCCCCGGCGTCCCGGATGGCAATCTGCAACTACGCGAGTGAGCGAGCATCGGCCCATGCGGAGTTCTTCTTCCGTATGCTCACAACGCTTGCCCGGAATTGGACCTATGACTGCAGTCGCTCAGAAGGATTGCGAAACCTACATGGCCCATTGCGCTTGGGGTTAGAAAAGCATGACCCGGACAGGTTCGTGCAGGTTCGGATTCAACGGGTGGCTCAGCAATGGCTCGAGACCCTGAAGAGTTCACAGGGTCTGGGGACAGCTTAGCTGTTCACCGGCTTAACCCAATCATCTGCCGTAGCGAACTTTGAATTTATGATTGAATATGTCGATGCGACTTTCTTTCAGATTAGTGAGGGAGAAAGCCATATTGGTAGCGAAGTATCGAGGACTGGATGCACGTTCTAGACGATGTGTTCGATCCAAAAACACACCTTTGATACCATCTATGCATTTGTACTCGTACCTTTGCTTCTCAACAAAGCCACTTTCTGATCAAATACTATTATCAATGGATACAAAATAGACAACGAGAGAGCATAACAGAAAACACGTTAGTCAATCTGGTAATTAATCTTCACCCCTACAGAAGTATTAGGCGAAAATGCAAACATAGCCACAATGGACCCCCGCGAACAGTCACCATATCAATACTACGCCGACCTACCCCTTCTCACCCCGCACCTTGAGATGCTCAAGAGCCACAACTGCCAAACCGCCAACGGTGGCCGCCTTCCCGATTTCTACCAGACTTATATCCAGAGTGAGTACCCGTCTCGCCCACGCCTTGATCTCAATGGCCATGAGGGAATCGATCTTGATACTCTCGCACTGCGCCTGCGCGGCCTCGTCGCCCGACGCGATCTGCGGAAGGATCATCCTGCCCATCTCGAGGACGATCAAGCTCTTCGTCCGAGGATCATCGGCCAGCGACGGATCACGCTGTATCGCGTCCGCGATCGTCCGGAGCTCGTTCTTCTCGATCTCATGCTGCGACCCTTTCAGGTCCATGTTTGCGTATAGCGCGAAGCGAGGGTCCTCGCGGCGCCAGGTGGTCCGGATCATCGGATCGGTGATGGGCTTCGTGCTACCGAGGCCTACGATGGCTGGGTTCGAAATTAATTTCTCAGGCACAAGGTCATCACCGTGGTTGACGGAATGCGAGATCGCGATTTCGAGGCCTTGGAGGACTTCCTGCTCGTTCAGCATACGGATACCGTTCCGCCGCAGAGTGTGCAGATATTTCGCGTTCGTGCGGAGCGTACCCACGTCTTCGACCGGGCCGAGGTCAAGAATGGACGACGCTAGACCAAGCTGTCGACGATATTTAGTGAAGGCTGACAAGAATGAGTTGGCAGCAGCATAATTAGCCTGGCCCGTGAAGCCGTTGACCGCGGATATGGAGCTGAACACCACGAAGAAGTCGAGGCCTTGATCCTGGACAGCATGGTGTAGGTTCCAGGCCCCTTGTACCTTCGGGTCTAAGCATGTGGTCCAGTCCTCGTAGCTCATCTTAGAATATGTTTGATCCTGGAAAGTCAATTGGGATGTTTATGACCTTAACTTGGGCGGGCACACTTACTCGTAGGACCATAGACAAGAGCATGACGCCTGCCAAAGGCTTCGTGCATCTCGTAACCGCTTTTTGTACGTCTTCAAGCACCGCCACATTTCCGGAAACGAATATAGCCTCACAGCCCTGAAGTCTCAGTTCTTCTCCGAAGAAGTGATCGCTCTCTGACTGGCCAGCGGAGGGAGAGAGATAAACAATCTCGCGAGCACCTCGCTCGACCATCCAAGTTGACACAGAGCGTCCAAGCCCGCCACGCCCACCAACCAACAGATAAGATGAAGAGGGAGAGAAACTATACACTGAGGGAGCGGGTACAGATGGGAGCTCATCCGGCGAACTGGGCATCTTGACCAAGATCTTGCCGATATGAGTGCCCTTCTGTATATACCTGAAAGCACTCGAGACTTCTGCAGCCTCAAAAGTTCTGATGGGATGAAGGGGTTTGATCTTGCCATCTTCAAACCAAGCCTTGAATTTCTGTGTCAACCTGTGAACCCGTAAGCAGATTGGACGTGGCGGAGGAGAGATCCATGGCCACCCACCATTCCCACGTGTTCAAATCTTGTTGTCCAAGCTCTAGCATGTCGACGCCCACAAAAGCGCGATTTGCGAGGAATGGTGCCATGTCGAGAATGCCATTTGTCAAAAAGTCTCGTTTTCCGAGTTCAATCATCTTGCCGAACGGAGCAACACAACTCCATGAAGCATGAAGAAGTTTTCCTGCTAATGAGTTGAGGACGACATCGACGCCGCGTCCGTCCGTCTCGCGCATTAAGTCTGCGACGAAGGACTCGTCTCTTGAGTGGAAAATATTTGATCTGCTAAATCCAAAATGATCAACCAGATATTGCACCTTTTCCTCGTTTCCGACTGTGGCATAAATCTAGGCGTCCTGTTAGTAGCATCGCCCATTATAAGGTACGAACTCTCACCTTTGCCCCTAGAGCGCGACAAACGTGGATAGCAGCTTGTCCGACACCTCCGCATGCCGAGTGAATCAAGACGGTCTGAAATTGTCAGTGTGATCATATTTTGGCAATGCTTGTCTATTCAACCCACCTGGCCAGTCTGAAGCGCCCCAACACGAAGGAAAGAGTATAGTGCAGTGGCGTAAACAGACAACATAGTAGCTGCATCTTCCATGTCTAGTCCATCTGGTAATTTGACGCAGTAGCGCTGATGGGCTACAGATCTTGTAGCAAAGAGACCGTTCTGGGTGAAGCATATCCTGTCTCCAGGCTGAAACCCATACACTTGCGATCCAACCTGGCGAACGACACCGGCTGCTTCAAATCCTAAACTACGCCGGTCACCAACCAACCCCATGGCAACCATTAAGTCCTGTAGAGTTGTGAGCAGCAATCAAATCAGGAAGTTAATCAGAAACCGCTTACTCTGAAATTCAATCCAACGTAGCAGACGTCAACGTCAACTTCATCGTCTCCTAGCGAGGGGTTGGTCGTATCACACCAATGCAATGTATCCAGAAGTCCATATGCAGATATATCAAGTTTCTTGCACACGTTCTTCTTTTGATCCATCGGAGACGTCGGTATGTCATTCACAGGCCAATGACAACGACTCACATACACGTCGCCCTGGTGCAGAGCATACTCTTGGTCGATGCTTGCGCAGGAGAGTTGCTTTGCCTGGCGCATCTTCTCAATCAAGCGCAAAACATGTGAGTATGCTTTAAAGTCAAACGAGTCGATCTCAAATACCGTAAACGGTATATCGCTCTCCTGTTGCATAGTGCGTGCAAAGCCGTGTACGAGACCAAAACGAGGGTCCGGGCAGCTCAAATGAGATGGATGAGTAAGCCAGAGTATCGCACCTCCACCAATGTTTTGGAGAACATCTCGCAGTAACCCAAAGGCCTCATCTGTGATTTTGTATAGCAAAGGTTCGTTATGATCGAGGAGGGAAACAACAAGAGCGTCACTAGGGTGCTCTTCTCCCATGCCACCAGATGTCACAGAGTAGCCACTCTGCGCAAGACATCTACGCAGACCATGTGCCCAAATACTCTCAGGCCCGCCGCGCAGTATATGCACAGAGCCCCGTTGTATTGCTTTGCATTCTACGGGTCTTGATAGCATAGTAAAGTTCGTATGGAAAGGGCGTTGGTTGTCGTAGACTGCGGCCTCGCGCCCGGTAAAACCCGCTTGCTTGAGCTCTATATCCCATCTGTCAGGTGATACATACGGTCGTTGTTGTCTATCTTTCTCTTCTCCGAGCCACCATCCAGGGAATACTCCCTGATTGAGTAGTACATCATTAGCTGAGATGCTCCACAGTAACACGCATTCGGATTTCATAATCTCAAATACATACCATCAAGAAGTCTATGATCCAGAGTGCTAATTCGACAGTCAGTATTCTTGATGCTTATCAGTGTGCAAACAAGATCTCTCACTAGGGTCAAGCTCATGTAGCAACAAACGCCCATTTGGGCGTAGGAGGTCGTGCACACTCTTCAATGAGGTCTGGAGAATCGGAGTAACATGCAAAGCCTGTTCAGACATTGTGTTGTGAGAACCGTGCAATGAGATGTACACTTGGAGATAACGGAGTGGAGAGAAACAGACGTTAGATGCGATAACCAGGTCAAAGCTATGCAGCTCAAATCCTTGCTCGGCTGGTGGTTTGGTGATATCGAGAGTTCTGAAATCAAGGCCACCATAGTCCTTGAACTTGTCCGCAGCAGTGGCAAAAAATCCAGGTGTTATGTCGGTAAATGTGTATGACGAGTAGAGTCGAACACCATCCGGCGTCTGGAGACATCTCAGTGCTTCAGAAGTGGCACATCCAGTTCCCGCCCCAACTTCGAGAATACGAAGTCCTGGGTTTGTTTTGCCTAGCATGTACAGGAAGTCTCTCGTCTGTTGTGGCGGGGTGACCGCATAATATCTTTCGAGTATGTTGTCCTCGAAGAAGACATCTAGTGGAGAGACCATACCGAGCAGAAACTGCTCACAGTTGTCATAGACCCGCTGAAGCATTGTGGGGAGAACGGTCCATTCTCGCGGTATAGGCTTGATATCCTCCAAGGTCTCACGAATGAGGTCTTTTCTCTTGTCGACTCCAATAGAGACCCAGTCCTGTGACCCTGCGAAGATAGTTTCTTTACCTTCCGCAACGTTGCGAGCTTGACTTGTGATGTGATCTTTCCATTTCTTCATATGGCCAGAGCAGGGTTCGATGGAATTCACGATGTCTGCAGCATTTAGGATATAAAGAATGGCAATTTTGCCCATCGCCCGTACCACCCTCGCTGCTGTATCACCACAGTACATTGGAGCTCTCTCGATTAGCAATTGATCAGAAGGTAGAAAGTCTATATCTTTCGTCCATTCCATCCGCGCAACTAATGGAACAGCAGGGTCATTATAGAGACCGTTATCATCCAGGGTGAACAAGAAGACATTTTGCATTGACAGTCTTACATGACCGTCTGCACACAGGTTTACGTCCCCTAGTCGCTTTTCAAAGACACTGGGGTTGATTGCAGCATGAACATTCATCTGCCTTTCCCCATGAGTGACGTAGATCTCCCCTATAGAGGCCGGAACTGCCAGTCCAGGCAAGCGATGCATGAGCCCATTAGACTGGGCGACGCTCAGTAGTTGTAGACAGTGGTCTATAGCGGTAGGATGAACAAAGTATCGGCTATCGTACTCAGATGCATCATCCACGATTGATGCTACCGCAGTGAGCCCAAGGGGATCTGCTAATATTTCCTTGAGACCTCGAAACCGCGGGCCATAGTTGAGTCCCCTATTGTTCAAAGCGTCATACCAGCTTTCGGATTCGACAGAACGAGGGTAAGTTTGTGGTCGCTCAGCATCTTGACGTGCAGCTGACTCCGGTCTCACCTGCCCTTGGCAGTGTTTGGTCCATGAAGTGCCATCGTGAACCATAACGGACATAGAATACCACTCTGAGTCTTCCATATCGGAATACATGGTGGGTTTGAAGCTGGTAATAACCTCGAAGGTTGTGCTCCCTTCCAATATCCAGGGTGCCTTGAGGATGAGGTTCTTGATCGCGAAACCTTCTGTTGCGGGGAACAGTTGATGCATTGCTTCCCCTGCCATGGCAATATAGCCTGCGGCCGGAAAAACTACACTTCCTTGTAGAACATGATCACATATCCAAGGAACACTGTAAAGAGACAGTAAGTTTCTCCATGTCGGCTCAAGCTCAGGCATCTCTGACACGCGAGAACCAAGGAGCTCATGATGCATGGCCGCATTGAACCTCCAGTCTCGTACCACACGACTCTCTTGCCATTGAGCTTTTCCCCGTGCCCAAGGATACAGTGGCAGTTCTGTAACTACCTTTGCATTTGCATCCGAGTTTCCTAGTCCCACGTTCACGGGTACGCCATTGCAATGGAGAAGGCCGGTAGTCTCTAGGAGTTGAATCTCTGCGCCCTTACCGCTGCGCAGGATAGTTGGGACATAAACGTGGTTCTGACCGGACGCTTGATCTCTCCATATCTGTTTCAATGGGGCTGACAACACTGGGTGAGGACCTACTTCCAAAGTCACTTGCTGTCGTGGCTCCTTTTTCAAAATTGCTTCAATGGCACCTTGAAATACCACCGGGGATTCGAGATTCCGACGCCAGTAGGAGGATCCCAGCTCAATGGGGTCTTCGATGATAGAGCACGTCACGCTTGACGCGAGAGGAAGCATATGTGTCGACGGGTGCTCTAAATGTGGTGCTATTAGAGACTCATAGAAACGACCGCAGCGTATCATGTGATCTGTATTTGAGTCAGGACCTGATAATACGCTTAAGGGGAAGATACTCACGGGAGTGATAGGCCACATCTACTGTTAGCAGCTTACATAGTGCCTCGGGCCTTTGTTGCCTGATATACTGAATGGTCTTTTCCAGCTCATCCTTGTCGCCAGAAAGGGTTACACTCTTCGGGCCATTGATACAAGCAATGACAACACCTTCTCTCAGGTAAGGACCTATCTCTTGCGAGCTGAGACTGACAGCAAACATTGATCCACGTCCCTGCTCAACCTTTGCAGCTACCCCGCGGTAATATGCCAATATGATAGCGCATCTCATTGTGATCGCTCCTGCCACATACGCCGCAGCTATTTCTCCGCTAGAATGCCCAACCACGTAAAAGGCTTTCAAGCCAAGGTTCGCTAGCACGTGGTATAAGCCAATTTGAAAGGCAGTGCATAACGGTTGTGATACCTGTACTTCGTGGATGTGGGAGTTAGTCTCGTTAGTAATTTCATCTGCTAAAGCCCAATCGGGCCCATCAGGCAGGCTTTGCAGTATGTCGTCCATCTCATTGATTGAGTCTCGAAAGTCTGCAAGTTCAGTCATTAGAGCCTTTCCCATCCCCGGCCACTGAGCACCTTGACCAGAAAAGGCCAGAATAGTGAGGCGATCCTGTGCTGTGTACTTTTGAAATGCGGAGGCATCAATCAAGTCATTGGGACGTGCTATCGCAAAAGCCCGGTTGGGCAAATCTACACGTCTGGCTCGAAGGGTATAAGCAAGGTCTGAAAGTGATGCAGTAGTTTTGTTTGCAAACTCTGTGAAACTGACTATGCGCGCTTGCAAGCTGTCTTCATCGCTTGCTGACAGAACCAAAAGTTCGGCTCTATCCTCGGTTCGCGTGGTCTCCTCGGCACTAGCTTGAGCAGTCGAGGAGTAGGAGTCAATGATTGCGTGAACATTTGAACCCCCAATCCCGAAACAGTTGACACTAATTCTTTCCTGGCGATTCTGGGGCCAGGGTATTGGTTCCGAGGGCAGACGAAGCTTTCCTTCTTCGAAAGGTATATCGCGATGTGGACTCTGACAAATGGTTGGAGGGATAACCTTTTTCTCCAAGGACAGCACACTTTTTATAATGCTAGTAATGCCGGACGCCCCTTCTGAGTGGCCTACGTTAGGTTTGACCTATAACTTGTCGCATTAATGCTTTTAATCTCCGATGTCAGGCCAGTGGACTTACCGAGCCTATTGTAATGCCCTTCTTTCCAAATAATTCAGCAATAACTGAGACTTCGGCCGCATCGCCCACTTGTGTTCCTGTGCCGTGGCACTCAAAATAACCAGTATCTGACAGGCTAATATTACCTGCTCTTCTGTATGTTGTGTCTATGAGGCTTCCTTGAGAATGTACACCGGGGGTCGTGATATTCGGTGTTTTGCCGTCACTGTTCGTGGCCGTCGCTCGAATCACAGCCCGAATTGGGTCGTGATTTTTAACAGCATCGCTCAAGACTTTGACGTAGATGGCATTCACAGCTTCCCCCCTTCCGTATCCATCAGCCGCATTATCGAAGCTGCGACACATTCCGCTCGGTGAAATGACCAGGTTCTCCGACATTGATGTCATCATGGTTGGTGACAGAATTAGATTTGTCCCAGCAACAATAGCCGACGAGCACAAGCCCGAGTAAAGAGCTTGACATGCCTCATGTAATGCCATCATCGATGATGAACAACCTGTTTCCAGTGTCATGCTGATATTCATCCTCATTAGCCACAAATTTAGGAGGAACAGCAGGACATAGATCAAGACATAAAAGAAGGCTGGCGTCCCTAGGGTTCAATTATTGTAACAACTGTGGGGTCATACCTTGGTCCGCGGAAATCGTACTCGTAGGATATTCTATTTGACAAAGCGAAATCTCCTGTTTCCAGTGCATAGTACCGATCGGTTGCCAATGGGTCTCTGTCCGCCAGACTAAGCCAGTCGCCACCAAAGACCCCGACGTAGCAGCCGATGTTCTTGCCTCGCCAATTTGTCTCTCCTGCGCTCTCCAAGCACTCCCACACGACTTCCAGTAGCTTTCGCTGCTGAGGATCCATCCTAGAAGCTTCACGCAGTGGAACAGAGAAGAAATCAGGATCAAAATCGGCAGGATCTTCTTCGAGAAAGTATCCATGCTTGGTTCTGACAGAATGAGTTTGTGTCTCGCTGTAGAAGGCGTTAACCGAGAATCTGTTTCCAGGGATTTCACAGTGACCAGTCTTTTTGTTGATGAGCATATCCCAAAAATCATCCGTAGTCCTCACACCTCCAGGAAGCCGCAAAGCCATACCCACAATAGCTATCGGCGGACAGCGATACGAAGAGTTTTGTCGGTCGGCCAATTCATCGTGATCGTATTCGTCGATGGCCCCTGAAATTGATACTTTTCCGTGTTCGTCGTTAAATTCCATGCTTGTATCTGCTATTTGTGACTCCTCTGATATGTTGTGGCTTTCCCTATTCGTTCTTGTTGCCTTCTGAACGTATTCTTTCTCTAAACCAAGTGATTGGATTAGCTTGATGAGGGAACGATCGCAAAAGTGGCTTTCCGGAGGCAGCCTTTTCGCGGTGCGGAGGGAAGAACAAACGCTCAGTGGACGGCGGGTACCTCAGTTTGAAGCCACAAGGAAAGTCACGGTCACTTCAACATGTGTTGTATAGCTTGTACAGATATCATTCTGTTGGCTACAGCCCGTGATGCCGAAACACTGTTCCAGTCGTCCCTGGTCCTGACTCAGTACCACCTTCGTACCCATTGTACGCCCGGATGGAATCATTCATCGTGAAATGTTGCGAATGTTGCGGATGTTGCAATTCGAGATCAGGCACGGTGATTTCTTTCAGATTGTGACTAGCATGGCTCAGATCAACAAGAAGTAAAACTGCTCCCAGAAATGAATATTTAAAATGAATTGTCGCCTTTCCAGCAAGTAGTCGATCGTCCTCGCAGCTTCTCTGGGAAAGAGAAGGAAAATAAGCTGTTATCTCAAAGGGTTCAAAAATGTGTAGGCCCCGTCCCCAACGATATCACATGAATCGCGTTGCTAGCGTCGGTGGTCGTCATCTTGTGGCCATCGTTGCGCGGATAACTTATGTAGCCAGCGAGTCGTGCTGTCCGCTGCAGTTCCCCGGCCGGGTGGTACGACATGTGCATGCTTTCTTCGTAGAGACTCAGAGGAGACGTAGCAAAAAGCTCAATTAAGGATCGGTATCACCATCAGTCTAACATGTTTGATGTTCGCGTAAGGAGTGTCGTGTAATGCCGACGGTCGCTGTTGCACGGGACGAGATAACGGCGGCCACAAGAGCCACTAAGCCCAAAGTGGACTAACTACCAGCGCTTATCGGAGAGCTGCAGCAAGCGGGGATAAATCATCCACCAGCAAGGTACTCTTCTCTTCCTCACCAACCTCTCTACGCACCCCTCGACCGAATCCTCACAGAACCTTTTACCAACTTTCCATCTCTTCATCCTTCATCCTTGCCCACCGCCGAGAATGTCACCCACAACTCCCCCTACCCCCTCCCAAAGCCGCCTCTCCACGCGCATCTCGCTGCGCTGGCCCCCGGCCCCCGCCTTCGAAAACACCGACACAATCGTCATGTCTGTAACGGGCTGGTACGTGGACCTCCGCATCGACCAAGCCACCACAACAATTGACTGGGCCATTGCTGGCCAACGCGTCGTGGATCCAAATGACTCCAGTACGCCCCTTTCCTTCTTCTGCACAGCACAACAGCATACTAACCCCCTTATCAGCCCGCGTCCAATTCACACACGAGCTGGACTCCCGCAACTCCTTCGATGACGTCGACTGTGGGACTTTCTCCACGCTGCCGAACGGGGACGATCTCGAGAAAGGGTCGATGCCTCGGGCGGATCTACCCGGCAAACCTGTCTGCGAGTACGAGGAGGTGTGGCGGGAGTTGGAGTTCAGGCGGGGTCCTGAGGGGCCTTCGAGGGGGATTTCCTGGGTTCTGGAATCGCAAAGTGGTCCTGATCTTAAGGAGGGCGAGGAGGGCGATGTGACTCGGACGTTCATTGGTCGGGTCTGGGGCACGTATCTCGCTCTCCGGCAGGTGCAGAGACATGTTCGATCGCCTGGTTCGAAAACGACTGTTCTCAAGGATGGAGGGGAAGTGAGTGCCCTTCGGGAGGAGTGGGATGCCACTGAAGGATGGTGCACCAAGTACAATGTCGGTGCGGAAGCGAACAAGTTGCCATTGATGAAGGACATTCCTGACGCACAGGGATGGACCACCGGACAGACTGTCACGATTGCCGGGGTGCAGTTTACGGTACGCGCTTTTGAGGAAATCAGTGCATGAATGGTATGTCTATTCAAATCGAGTCATTAAATCTATGGGGGGCTATATACACAACAACTGAAGTCGTCAATCTACTGCTCGTTGCAGAGAACGTAACGGAATCTGGCCTTGCCAGCATCCATGTCGACAATGGCAGTGTTGGCATCCTTCATGGGACGCTCCTCGACCCAAGTGCGGACGTTCTTCTCCGCGGCCAACTCGAGCATCTCGCGGATCTCGCTGGGAGAGCCGATGAGGGAGCCGCTGAACTTGACACGCTTGAAGATCAGAGCAGGGGCGGGAATGGAGAGGGAACCGTCCTCGGGGACACCGAGCTGAACGAAAGCACCGTCGCGGTCGAGCAGCTGGACGTAGTCGGTGATGGGCATCTACAAGACAGCGAGTCAGCGAGCTATTCAACAAAGGTACGCGAGAGAACTCGAAGAAACATACCTTGGAGGAAGAAACGGTGGAGATGATCAGGTCGAGGGAGCGAGAGTTCTTCTGAGCCCACTCGGAGTCCTCATCGGTAGCGATGTAGGCATCAGCTCCGAGCTTCAGAGCATCCTCTTTCTTGTTGGCCTTGCGGGAGATGGCAACGACCTTGTCGGCACCGAGGGCCTTGGCGAACATGATACCGAAGTGGCCGAGACCACCAACACCGATGATACCGACGCGCTTGCCGGGGCCGCAGCCGAAGTGCTTCAGGGGGGAGTAAGTGGTGATACCACCGCAAAGCATGGGAGCAGCGACGGCGGAGGGGATGGCATCGGGGATCTTGACAGCGAAGCGGGAAGGAACGCGGTTGTAGGTGGCATATCCACCGTACGACTTGCCGCCGTTGGCGTACACGCCGTTGTACGTGCCAACCATAGACTTGGGGCAGTACTGCTCGAGACCAGAGGCACAAGCCTCACAGTCGCCGTTGCGGCCCATGCAGGACTCGCTCTGAGCACCAACACCGACACGGTCTCCAACCTTGATGCCACCCTCGACCTTGGAGCCGACGCGGACGGCAACACCGACGATCTCGTGACCGACACAGCAAGGGTAGTTGGTGGGACCCTAAATAAGTTAGCAGACGAAAACACCATCCAATCGTGACCAACAACATACCCAGCCGCTTCTCAAGGTGTGCATGTCAGAACCGCAGATACCGCAGTGGGTGATCTTGATGTCGATATCGGTCTCCTCCCAGGGCTTGGGCTCGAACTCCTGCCAGACCATGTTGCCCTCGGCGGCCTTGGGCTCGAGAGCCATCCAGCCCTCAAACTTGTAATCGGTGGAAGCCATTGCGAATGATGTGATGGGATGTGTGAGGTGTGATGTGTGAAATGACGATTGTCTGGACTGTTGATTCCCCGCGGGTCCTCGCTGCATTTATATTTGCATCCTCCCACCCAGGTCGGCGTAACCCAGGGAACTGCTTAGAAATTCAGCAGAAAAGTGGTTCGTTCTCTCTCTGCGTCGATTTGCCATGCGGTGGGGCCAATTTGTCTCCGAAGATCTGCTGTGAACAACCGTCAACAGGCTTGCAGGCTTCCAGGCAATGTGGATAAGACGGGAGCCACATCGTGGCACCAGGGGCATGACTGGACCGAGGCACATCCATGATTCAGGTCATCCAATGCTAAAGTCCGTTGGAGGGCTCCCGCTGCGTCCAGACAGTCAGCAAGCACATTGCCATTTTGCCCCTGCAAAAAGTCGAACTGAGCAAATTCCGTTGGGCCCGGCAATACTCGGTACAAACCCGTCATTGGACATCGAACGTCCGCTTCCCGCAGTCTCTGGAGCAGTACCAAAGAAAACGCTGCCATCAAACCAGGGAAGCGCGGCCCTGCTTCCTGGGGCGCTAGTTGATTATGGTCTGAAACTGCAACCTGCTGATGCCCCACTCCACGGAGTTAAGGAATAATAAGCTGCTGACGGTCGCGCAGCCACTGCCGGACCGAGAAGCCCCATCCGGGCACCACATTCAGACCGGATTGTAAATTAAATTCTGCTAAGCTTCTAGAAAGCTCTGCGTGTTGGGCTTTGGGAACTATCAGAGATTTCGATTCCGCGGGAGTGTGGCTCTGACGTCATGTCAGCCGTGTGCCCCTGATGGTCGGAAATACTCGTGTTGGATTTTGTGCACACTGCACACTGCACAAAGTTTTCTCGGGATCGCCACACCTTCGGCGCAGATTTGTTGCCGACCGTCCTCCGATGGTTTTCCGGATGCTATCGTTCCGGACGCTATACACATGGATTTATGTATAGGACAGTGCTTTTGAATTGCATGCATTTCTTCAGGTTTACTTAACTTAGCTAGCTTAGTATGCTCAAAAGATGGTCTCTCACCTTCATTCTAGACAATTGAAGCATTCGCTTCCTACAAAGATGACCCTGCTAACTACACATCCCACACCGCGCTCTGCCAGTCCGTAGGCGCCGATAACTTATTTTCAGGTATAGATACTCGGCTAGCACCAATTGACAAGTCCCTTACATCATTACCATTATCGTCGTCCTGTCTATAGCACTAAGTACTTAGATCCAGCTTTCTCAACATGCCAACAAATAGTCTAGGATACAAAACCATGCCAACGACCAATCCAGTCCACAACCACTAAACACAATCCAGCCCTCATCCCCTCATCTTAGCCCCCCTCCCCAAATACCGCATCACTCCCAACTACCTGGGTAAGGTGCTGCTACTAAACCCCCCTCACCCCCCTAACCAAAAAATAAAGCACCTGCGGCGCCTCGCCCCCGAACTCGGAATAATCCGTGGTGACCGTCTCCACCACTCTAAACCCGTGCTTCAGGTAGACCTTCAACCCCGCGGGTTCGGACATGACGTACGTGCGGAGGCCGTGGCGATCGGCCACCTGCAGCCCGCTGGCGACGAGCATGCTTCCGACGCCGCGGCGCCAGAAGTCCGGGTGGGTGCAGAGGTAGTCCAGGGCTAGAGGGTTGGGTTGCATTAGCAAATGCCATGATCCCTTGGTTGGGCTAAGATAAACGAGACCCGGGCCACAACTCCGTTGATCACAAGTTACCACCTTTCATATCCCATACTATACCTACAGTACACCTCCACTTACCCTTCCACCCGCACACGGAGGCCAGAGGGTGCAATCTTTCGGAGAAACAACAACAGAAAGCAGGCATTATACGCAGTATAGCTCTTGAAAGGATTAGAGAAAAATTAGAAAAGAAAATAACTTACTCAGAAACTCCTCCCCACGCGTAATCGCCTCATCCGCCTCCTCCAACGGCCGACTCCGGAACTCCATCAGCCCGTTTTTCTTCATTCCCGGCACCTGGCCCCCGTCACTGGCGGCATCGAAGTTCTTCTTGAATTCGCAAAGCTCATCGTCACTCACGGTTTGGACCTGCGCCTCGGGCCAGAATGTTCCCTCCTTCCCTGTATTGTGTTCCACGCTTAGTAGTGAGTCCGGGACGATCCACCGCGCGTACCCGACCACCGTCTTCTCTCCGGAGTCATCGATGTAGGAAACCATCTGGTGGCGTTTGCGGTCGCGACCAGTGGCTAAGGAGAAGGGGAAGCGGGCGGTGACGTCGGCGATAATGCGGGCTGGGTTGGGGTCGGTCCAGAGGAAGACCCAGTGCGGGTCGGTCAGGCGGGCGAGCATGATGGCGCGGGCGATTTGCGGGGAGTCTGCGGGGGTGCAGCGGGTGAGTGTGAACGACATTTTTCGTTGTTTCGAAGTTGGATTGTGACGGTGGTAGGGATGTCAGTCGTGCGATTCTTTATCGGGTGTCGCTTTTGTTAAAACGAAAGTGGGCGAAGAGAGCAGCAGGCTAATTTCTGTGTATAGGCAGAAGGATGCATTTTATGGACAGCGGTGAGTTGAGGCAAGGTGTCCAGTTCTTATCTGTGGTTCATATCTGATTAGATCTGAGGATAGAAAGGTGTAACTGGTCAGGATGATTAGTGCTTACCTATCCATGGCTGTTCGTGGGCACTGTGGTGCTTAGTGAAGTGAGCTATAGAATGCTTAGTAGTCAACAACGGGAGGATGAAGCTAGCAACACGGCTGGTATAACCTCTTCCGCTACACGATACTTCGTCCACTGCGCACTGAATTGGCTGTTTACCCAAGGACCCCCAATCCCTTAGCCTGATAAAATGAGATATGGTTCTCGTCAGAAAGGCCCTGAGCACAGAGGACTTACGTTGAATCACTGGCATCTCCGATGCACACACAACCCTCTCGGATAAGAGTCTGAGTATGAATCGCATGACAGGAGCTGCCAATCAATTGAGGAGTTAGTCCAAATACTCCAATGAAATCGCCTGAACAAAATGTCCACTGGCCAAAAGGAAAGCCTGATAGTCCTCGGTCGTAGGCGATTTGGCATCTCAAATCCATTCACTCAATATGGACTGGGGCTGTAAGGAGCAGGCATTGGCAGATAAAATATGTAATTTGTCTTCCTTCGCGAAGTAGAGGACTGTTGATCATCTTCGCAGACCTTCTAACATCGTTCGAGGTGTGAGCTTATAAATGCTACTTCAAGAATCGGTCTAGTCCCTATTTTGACATCGGTCGCTCATGTTAGCCTGTCTCTTTCTAGAATTTATATCACCACAGCTTACCACGGCGGGTGAGCGATAATCTTGAGACATGATCGATCTCTTCAGTGAGGTCTGTCCACGCTGTAAACATTCGTTGCCGTCTGACTAGGTGCTCGAAAGCAATAGACATCGATGCATCTTCGGGTACCTGCGTGATATCCGCCTATTACCGTTCAATAATGCATAAGAAGCAAAACCCGGTGGTATAGATACGATACGCCCTAGTCGGAAAGATTCACGTTGAGTGCAACGATAATGATATGATCCGATCGCCCTGCAGCCCTGCGACAGTATAATCTGTCTCCCGGTCAACGCTAACCACGGTATCAACCTCGAGGCAGATGACATTATCGTCGATTGAACGATTAGATCTCACTAAGAGACTTTCCGATAAGCATGGCCAAGCCCACGGAGTTCTGGGCATTGAAAGCAAGACGCGTCGTCAACGACCAAGCAGGCCAGCCACTACATTTGTAAGATCGATATCGCAAGGTTGCACGGTCGCATACGCCTTTTCGAGTGCCTAGGGCATTGTGAGGTAGTGATAGCATCACAGCAACCCTGTCGTCATCATCCGACTCCAAATGCATGGATCCCTGGGACGATCCGTGTTGACGCCGTGCGGGAACGGTTATCTTATCGTGAATGCGGGCGCAATGACGCGGGGTGTGGGGATAGCCGATAAGATAAGCACTGCATACCACGAGACGTCAGCTTAATATAATTCAATCGAAAATCGAGAATTGAAGATGCGTTTGGGGATGAGAGATCTGAAGATGGGTCTGGTGAGTCTTGTCGGTCGGTCGCGGGAGACACAGGCGCAGGAATGAGGCCGAGCGAGTTCCCTGCGCATACACGTGACCGCGAATAGGAAGGGACGAAGGGCTTAAATCCAGTCTTGCGCTGAAAAGCATGGTTCTTTTCTCGCAGGGTTTGTTGTATGAAAGACTATCGAGGTCAATTGGACGATTTTAATACTTGTATGTTATAGGTCTAAACAGTGTGGTATAAATCATGGTTTTAACTTTGTGCAGCATGGCTAATTGTTTTGTGGTTGGAAAAGGGAAACTTGGGGGACGAGGTGGGTGGTAGTTTGACATTGAGAATAACTTCAATTTGATGCTAGCTAGCTGGATACGGGAATAGCTTCACAAGAGCTCGAAGGGGAAGTTGTGGGGTGGGAGCGGAAGGGGAGTGGTGGATGTGGTGTATGTGCTGGATGGGGAATGAGCAGCTGCGCGGGCTCGACACGTAAACTACGGAAGGGCAATGGGACAAGTAAACGGGATGGGCTGGAATTGCTTTAGCCAAGAGGCTACCAACTCATCCATGTCCCATCATCCGGTATGCCATCATCTGTAGGAGAACTTGGGTCCGGGATAGCTTCAGGCTGGCCTAAACAGTCGATCAAACCTCCCGGGCGTCGAACCGCTTGCAATCAAAAACTGATCGCAGTGCAACTCCTCAGCCACCCTCTGCAGGCTGCTGGTGCGGAGTCTGTATAGCTTCATGTGCGGCCGAAGTAGTAGAATTATATGGCAGATGTAAAAAAAGGGCCAGACCAGTATAGTTAACGATCCCATAATGAACCAAGCTGCCTCCGTACGTTTGCGACAACGGTGCTGGCTAACACCCTGTCTACCACCCGAGTTGAATCAGGGGCCGTACCACTAGGAAGGCTCGCGCACTAGCTTCAAATTCGAACAGATAGTGGTCTGAGCGAGATTCGAACGAGCGTGGTCTCCGAAGATCCCGGCTCTAGCGGAGTACACCGTGCGAACATGGGCCTCCAGCCGTTCGGCCATCAGCGGTGACTGGTTTCGAAAGGAGATAATTACGGGGGGGTATAAGGGAGCAGGCGTGACGGTTTCAGGCACCCAAAAGTGGTGCCTGAGGACGGCAGCCTGAGCGCAGGCGGCTGGCAGTGGCAGCCCACTGCAGGCGAGAGAGCCTGGCCATGGCCCCTGGTATGCACAAGGCGACCTGGGGGTCAGCCAGAGTGCACACAGCAATCCAACATCCATCGAGCCGTATTTCCAGTATGCGGAGGTGAGATATATGCCCTGGTATGCCCAGTGCAATGACATGAAGGGTATCCTCGAGGAGTATGGTTGAGGCTGCAGAGAATATTAGCATCGATGCCGACTGCATACGTGGAAAGCCTTGGAATACAGTACCCTATGCAACTTACCCCTCAGCGAAAGCAACGCAGACTCCAGCAATCCCAGCACTTAGGATCCTAGAGGATGGTTACAATCACATCATGGCTCTTCTCACATGCCTCGATCAGCCAAATTAGCCGTCAACATGTATCTTCGTGCTCAATAGCTCTTTCGACAATATGCTACTAGGGCTACCCCAAGGGTGGTATTGATTTGGCTAACGCAACATTGGCATCACATAGCACAAATGAACCCATTCCTAGAGCATCCAAGTGACAAGTAGTCGAGTAGACAGACATGAACTATCAAACACTACTACATTGCCTCAGCATTGGCAGTTGGCGATACCTCGAACGAGGGGCATTGAGATCATCCCGCTATCCTTGCAGGGTTTTCGAATGCTGCCGTGGCCTCTTAGCGAGCGGCAGAAACAAGCGACCGCCTGCCCCACCCACCACGACAAACACGACAAACATGCCCGCCTCGGCTCACCAGCACCAACAACAAATCAGCCTTCTATCATCGTGCATTATCTAGGTAGGCTAGATTGTAAACTGGTTTGAAGCACAAAACTTCCTTGATCGGGTGCCGAAGACTCCTTATCACTCGAATTATCTCACTGAAAATTGCGACTTTTTGACCTAGTTGGTCGGGATCTATATCTACTCTTCTCCACATGGTCAAACTATATACTTTTCTGATCCTTCTGTGTGACTCGAAAGAGGTACCTAAACCTGCCTAAAAAACCTCCATAATAATCCGGCGAGATTCACTCCGAGTTGCATGTGCCAGGGATGTCGAAATATAGGCGTCACCAGTCACAAGATCATGAAATTCCTTGACGAGAGGGAGCATTCCAGCTGCATGTCAATGCAGGAATCCAATTTCGGCTGCAGTGTAGCGTCAAGGGTACCACATCAGGAACTATCGGACAATTATTGGCCGAGTGACAGGGAAGCAAGGGCTGTTTTCCCTCGTGAATGAAGTATGACGTTTCGACATTGGCCAGGTATAAATGCATTCCCATGACTATCCGACTCTCTATTATTTTACTGAGCCGAATCATTCGACATCCTGTACCTCGATATCTTCGAAATGCTCGAAAACAGCGAACTAGCTCCTCCAACATTTACCCCAATCCCACTGACTCCATTAGACCATCTGTTGCCCCGGCTTCATATGACATGTTTTCCCTATTTAGCGACAAAATCGCCGGCTGAGGCCTCTTTAATCCTGAAAGATGGAATTGAGCTCTTGGTCACACAAAATCCCATCCTTGCGGGAGACGTGTGTCCAACATCGCGACCAGAAGGTAAGGCTAATAGATTCGAGGTCCGACCGCCGACAGAATTGAGTCTCAAGGAATATCCTCTTGTCCAAACACGGGTGCACGCTCAAGAGTATTTCTACCGCCAGAAGACGGTTCGTTCGCATCGTGTCACGGGCGACGACCTAGGCCAAGCCAAATACCGGCCCGTCCCGTTAGATGCAGTCAATCAGGAACGCGCCCCGGGACTCCGGTGGCAACTGAATGTCTTCGAAGACGGGATAGTGATCGGAATTTGCTTTCACCACTTGTTCGTCGATGCGATGGGCGTGTATATCATTCTTCGATCTCTGTCTGCATGTTGTCAAGGCTTGAAGCACCCTCGGCAACTCGCACTCCAGCCTATCGATACCGACTGTCGCAAACGAATCATTGAGATGGGCCAACAAACGGAAACCATGCCAGGGACCCGACGGATCGACATCTTCCCGAGCATAAACACAGCTCTCGACGTGACCGTGGGCAGGATTTCGTGCCAGCTCGTGACGGTCCCTTTTGAGGTGATGAGTCGTCTCAGGGAGGCCTGTCAAACTATCACAACGGATTTGCTAAGTTCGGTGGCTAAAGATGGCGACCCGAGTTCTTCGCAAGCACCTCCAATCTTCTCCGATAGTGACGTAGCTGCAGCCTTGATGTGGCTCTGCTGGGCGCGATCTCGATACTATCATCCTGAACTCAGACCTCAACCAGACGAAACCTCCATGATTTTGATGATTGAGCTTCGCCAGAGAGGCGTACTCCCGCTAAACTACACCGGAAACGCCGTGGCCCCTGTTGCCGCATCCGCGCCTCTTTCTCCCGCCGTCAACTCTCCTGCCAAGGCCACCACTGATTCCCATCACACTTCCCCAGAGATGTACCGCCAGATCCCAGGACTCAGCACTTACGACCTCGCCCTTCTCGCAGACCTTACCCTCCGTGCTTATAAGGCGAGCGTCGGGGTTAATAAAGATTACATACGAGGCTTGGTTCGGGAAAAGTATATCAGCAGCGACTGGCAGTCCTACTACCCAAGCGAAGGACAATTCCTCTACAGCAACATGCGCTTACTGAATACATCCGGACTTAATTTCGGCAAGAAGCTCGGAAACATCGTGCGATTAGAGACCCTTGACTACCGGACGAACGGGCAGTGTTGGGTGTTGCCAGCTGCAACGCGAATGGCACCCTGGGAGTTCCGCGTGTCGATGGAAAGGGAGGACATGGAGCGGTTCCTCGAGGATCCATTGTTAGTCTGGGCAATGGGGAAGAATGCGGCGAGACTGTGAAGGGTCGATGGGGCGAATACTTGGTGAGAGCGATAGTTGCGTGTTTTACTTGGACATACTTCTAGACTGTTCGTGCATATTCATGGAGGCCAAGAACCGAGGTATATACTTTGTAGCAGGGAGATAGACATTTTGAATACAATAGGGCAGCCTAAATCATCAGGTGTCGATCATGATCAGCAGTCCCACCACGTCCCGCGTATCAGTTCAAACCGGCACGTGACCCCGCGTTTGTTGACAACAAGTCAAAACGTCAACAGCAGACTGACCAACCTCAATCGCACTGATCTTCTTTCAACCCACCCCGACAAAATACTCATACCCTGCATCCGACCCCAAAAAGCATCCCCTGCCCCCTTGATTCCTACAATGACCCGCGGCAAAGGAATTACCCCACAGCTCCGCTCCCGTATCTGCGAGCTCCACTCCATCGGCTGGGGCGCGCGGAAGATCTCCCGGCTGCACTCCGAGCTGTCGCTGAGCGGAATCAAATACACCATTCGCAAGGAAAAGGATCGTGTGAATTGCGTCACCCAACCACGCCCCGGTCGACCCAAGAAGCTCTCCGAGGACCAGCGGGCGCTCATCCGGGCGATGGTCGAGGCCGATCCCGCCGTCAAGAGCGCGGACCTTCTGGAGGCGGTGGGAAATGCGATTACCAAGCGGTCGCTGCAGCGTTTGCTGAATGAGAAGGGGATGGGTCTTCGGGGGTAATGTGCTTGGGGGAGCATCGCTGGATTGGATTTTCTTCTGGCGAAAGGAGATCCACCAGTAGTGGGTTGCAGGTGAGTCGTTGACGGAATGGTCAAACTACATGGCTGAAGGTACATTACGACACGGCTCTGTCCCTTTCTTTCCCTTTGAAGCGGCACTAGCTTTGTTGACTCGAAACAGACAGATGGGATTCTTCCGTTCCTCTGCATGCCATTCTTTATTGTCGAACACAAATGACAAAGACACAAGACCAAGGCATCGAAGTATCGAAGCCTCTTATCCCTCTCGATAGACACCACCTGACTGTCCCGTCGTCTTCTTCCCCCATCAGAAGTGGAAACCCTCTTTTCTGGCCTGGCGTCTCCTCATTACTGATCCCTGCCTGACTCCGAGTTATGCGTCGATGAGAAATGCTGGGTCATCGTGGCATCTTCGCGGTTCTTCTCGCTTTCGAGGAAACAATGCCTTGTATTAGAAGGGCCTTTGTCCTTGAGGCGTTTCCCATTCTCACAATCTGTCTATATAAGGACCGGATTCGCTGTGCCTTGTCAAGTGTTTGTTATCGTGCAAATACTCTCCAATTCTTCTCATGGTCACAAGAACCACCAGTCTCTAGGACACACACTCACCAATATGTCATTGTATGAAGGGGCTCCGAGACACAGCGAGATCCAAGTGATTTCCGAGCGGATCGACGCTGACTCGGCAGCCGGGCGTAGTCCCATCCTCTACGAAAATGAAATTCGGAACTATCTAGGCGCAAGGGTGCGGGGTGTGGGCGAGCGGTTGCTCCGAATGGAGGGGGCAGACGTGGAGTTGTGCAGCGGCCGCATTACTGCGAGCAACATCGGCGACCGGTCGATCATCGAGGCCATTCTCATCCAATCGAGAGGCGTCCCACCGGTGTGGCCCTGCGATTGTTGTAGGAACAATCACTTCCCGCGCATGTTCCCCACGTGCCTCCATGTGCCTCATCCCCTGATATTCCAGGGCATCTGCGGCAACTGCAAGGCTTCGGGTCGGGCGTCGAAGAATTGCGATGCCATGAGCTATTTCTTTGAGATGGAAGAAAGCCAAGTACACTTGGTTCAGACGTTGAAAAGCCTGGCGGACGATAGCGATGCTTCCTAAGTTCCAAACAGCCTTCCGAACGGTCTCCCAAATGGTGCTTCCTAATCGGACCGCTAGCTTCTGAATGATGCGTTTTCGACGTTTCTTGCAGAGTCCTTAATCGTTTATAAATACATTCATCACCTGAAAGAACCTCCACCTAAAATGTGTATTATTGATGCAAAGTATTACAGTTACGGAAAAAGTACCCGCAGCTTGATTGTTCGCCCCCCACTACCCTATCGCAAGGTGCGCCAAATCCCGCGCGTTGCTCTTAACCCACCTAGCTCCAATTGTGTTCATCTGTCCGCGGATGCGAGCCACCCTGTCATGCTGAAGTTCCGGACAAGCGAAAAGACGTTTCGAATAACGGCGCGGGCTACGGGCGTCGCACAGCAATTGGGAAGTGCGGGTGGCATGCTCTCGGCCTCTCTCGGTCAACAAAAAATTCGAGTCGCGAGAAAGAGGAGAGGCGAGATCGGGATAGATCGCCCCACACTGATGCTGCAAGCTAGGCCGGCGGAGGAGGTTTATCATCCATTCGAAGCGACGGTATTTCATTGGGCCGTTCGAGGTTGTCAGGTACGAATGGCCAGGTCTGGATAATATGGTGCCACTGTTAGGCATAGAAGCGATCAGCACAAACCATGCAACGTACTGTACAGTGAAATGGTTTCTGGACCGGATCGAAAGCGGCGAAATATACGAGGCTGAGCTGTTCCGTGGCGCGGAATCTCCATTCCCTCTGGCCGGCAGTTTTCTGGAACAGTGGAGAGAGCTCTCTCCGCCTCACTTCACCGCACACCATACATTAAGCTTATATGTGAAATGGGTCTAGATTGTAGAAGTTCGACCAGTTTACGGTATTTCTCGTGCGAGGAGTTTGTATAATGTGGTACCTACCAAACCAGAGCCAACAAATATGAGGTAGGTGGCTAGACTCCCGCTGCTTACATTTCGGAACTCCATAAACAGCTTGTGCAGAACCACAAACCCAATCGATGATAAACTGCTCCCAGTCGCCACCGTCGGAATTCAACTCAGTAGGAATCCCAGGAATCTCGATCTAAGCCGTACATTCGATGCAGACGGGAAAGATCTGTCGATTTTTGTCCTGGCAGTTGACCCGCAGCGCAGACTAAATGGGGAAGGCGGTGATCATGGGCCGGATAGGCGGAGGGGCCAAACGGTCTAGACCCCAAGCTTGACCCGGTTGGGTCAAGCCACACTCTGCGGCTGCACCTGTGACGCAATTGCCGCCGGACGCTGCTTTCTTGAAGGCGAAACGAAAACTTCGGGATCGCAGTTCATTATTGTCGCATGCCCCACACACGCTGACTTCTGTTCATTTCTCATCGTCACCATTTCTTTTCTAGGCTCTACACCTTTTGCAAGATCAAGGGTACTGGTACTGAACAACATGGACTGAACGAAAAACAGAGGTTTCACGAGGCGGACAGCAGACAGGAAACACCGCATCTAACCTGCAGGTTGACAGCCCCCCCTGAGGTGTCGACGCGATGGAGAACGTAGCCTCTCCGGCTTCCCAGCAGGAGGAACACGAAGCGGATCGTCGCGCCAGGGAGTTATTCCACTACTTTCAACCGGACAACCCTGCTTTGCTCCCTGCTTCTGAGGGCACTGATCCACACGGCTCGACCTGTGCGTACGCTCGAGCCAGTCCAAATCTTGTCCTTACTGCCTTGGCCCAGTTAGCCGCGGTCAAAGTAGGCGTTCAGCGTGCGATCATTAGGTACGTTGTTCATGCCCTGTCCCCTTTGCGATGCGACTTGTACTTCACACAAGCCTGGCCTTCATATGGGTTTCCATTGCTAAATTGTCCCTAGCTTGATCGATCGCGAGACGCTCTATGTAGTGGCCGAGGCATCACGCTCGCTAAACCTTGGGGATAACACACTTTATGAGGATGATGGCGACGGGCTCTGGATGGGCTGCTCCCGAGGCCCTGTTGCTGGTACCTTATGCGAGGTAGCTACCCCTGCGACCCCAATTCTCCTTACTGCGCCGCCATGCTGATTCATCTGCGCTAGAAAACGATCACCTTGTCATCAACCACCGCGGACAAATACCCTTTCTTCATTGTGGACGACTTGCAACAACATCCCAAATTCTGTCAGATACCCTGTGTGTCCGGTTCGCCTTTTTTCCGCTACTATGCCGGCACACCCCTGATGACCAGTAGTGGTATCAACATCGGAAGCTTATATGTCATCGATCCAAGGCCCAATCTGTCCTTGACGGCCGCTCACAAGGAAAGCCTTGGCGTGATAGCCACCGGAGTGATGGAGTACCTGGAAACCTCGCGGCAGTCACTCGAAAGCGCTCGTTTGATGAAAGTCTTGTCGGGGCTCAACTCGTTTGTTCAAGACCAAGGCAAAGAAGAGTCCGCGACCGCAGCCATTCCACGAAGTGCGAGCCCTTCTGACCTTGACCGATCGCGAACTCCCAGCCCCCAGCCCATTTCATCGCTCGAGATCGACCCGAAGCTTACCCCCCGAAGTACGAAATCGTCTGCCAAGACAACAAGCCCGGCACAGAACAATAAATTCTCTTCTGCGGATTCTGTACCGTCAAGCCCCACGAAACAGCAGGCCCCGTCTAAGCGACCTGCCATCAAATCGCATGCATCATCGTCAGGGAAAAGACACGAGGCATTTCAGCGTGCTGCAGACCTCATGCGTGAAAGCCTAACCCTGGGGGATGAAGGAGGGGTCGCAATCTTCGCTCTCAAGGACAGGTTTGACATTGATGAAGACGAAGGATTGCTAGACAGTACGACCACAGGATCACGGCCCACCGCTACTACTTGGGCTATCTCGACCCGTAATGCCCACGATTCGCCGTGGGGAAATGAGTCAGACCTTACGCCTGCCAAGCAAATTAGTCGACACTTTCTGCGACGGATGATGCAGCGTTTCGGTAAAGGAGCCCTGTGGTACTTCCATCGCGATGGAACAGCCTTCTCATCTGACGAGGAGACGTCTTCGCAGACTAGTAATCAGCCGGCCTTTCAGTTGCCGTCATTACTCCATCCGCGGGATCGAGACACGCTGAATGGAAGGGACTTGGATCTCCTGCAGACCTACTTCCCGAACGCCACGCGCATTATCTTCGCCCCCCTGTGGGATGCATCGAACTCGCGCTGGTTTGGCGGCTGTTTCTGCTGGAGTTCCGTGGAAACTCGGATTTTCAGCCCCCATGTAGAATTGGGTGGCGTGCTCGGGTTCTGTTCCTCATTAATGACAGAGGACAGTCGTATCCGGAGTCAAGAAGCTGACAAGAAGAAAGGAGACTTCATCAGCAGTATATCGTGAGTGTTCTTGCTTGGCACTGTGTGACAGTTGGACTGACTGAAGGGGAAATAGGCATGAACTTCGGAGTCCTTTGCATGGAATTCTAGCCGCAGTGGAATTCCTCGCGGAACAGACGCTGTCCAGCTCAGCTCGGTTGCTTCTGGATACTATTCGGGCGTGCAGTCAAACTTTGTTGGACACGTTCGAGCAGATTCTTGATTTCAGCAAAATCAACTCATTCAAGCGGAAGGCCCGGGCGGCCGGTTCATCGCTGTTGCAGGATGGTAGAGATTCTGTCGCTGCGCAAAATGGTCCACGCTCATTGTACATTTTGAAAGTCGTGGACATTGTGACAATCGTCGAGGACGCGATCGAAAGTATCTGCGCTGGGGCCAATCATCTTAATATTACTCGTGCTGGTGACTCTTCAACCTCCAAGCCGTCCTCCCCCTTAGGAGATAGCTACGGTGGCAACTCTGAGCACGTCGATATCACTTTGGATGTCGGCATGGATGACTGGGTCTTTGTTTTGGAACCAGGGGCCTTGCGACGTATTGTCATGAATGTTTTTGGAAACGCACTGAAGTACACTCCAACCGGGTCCATCTCCGTACACATGGAGATCCAGAAGGATAGCAAAAACGCGTCTCGTGATGGGGCTGACAATTTGCTTCTGACTGTATCCGATACCGGTCGGGGTATCTCCACCGACTACCTTCGATATCACCTGTTCACACCTTTCATGCAAGAGGATCCTCTGTCCCCTGGCACGGGTCTTGGTTTGTCTCTTGTTAACAGCATCGTCCGCTCGTTGAAAGGCAATATCAAGATCAAGAGTCAGTTGGGGGCGGGGACGGTGGTTAAGATTTCGATTCCCCTTACGCGGCCCGAGAAAGAATGTGTAGAGAGTGCGACAGTGCTCGATGACCCGCTTCTCACTCCTTCAGAAGGTCTCATTGATGGCATGAAGCAAGAACTGGCAGGGAAGACAGTGTGCTTTGTCCAGCCCGATGATGCCGCCTCTGCTAGTGCTATCGCCAGGTACCTAACGCAATGGTATGGCATATCACTCCAGCCGTGGTCACCTGATGTTCCCGCGGACCTCGTGATTGTCGACGAGACGCAATTGCACCGCGTCAAAGGGTTGAATGAACGATCCACGTTGCTCATTCTGCACCGCGACAGGCGTGCTACGTATTCGAAATCTTCTGGAGTGAGTCAGCTTCGCGCACGGATCGAATGGTTGAGCCTTCCGTGTGGTCCCTACCGGTTAGCCAGAACGATCCAGAGTTGTTTGCAAGCACCACCTCAGCTTCCGGGGATGGAGGATGTCTCACCGCCAATTGCGTCTGAAAACGGCGTACAAAATGGGAATGGGTTATCTGCTGACCAGGGCCCTGATCGAAGTCTCCATTACCGTCCGGCAGCATCATCCATTCCTGACACCAAACTCTCTGCACTATCATTAAACCCAGATGTCGAACCTCAATCCACCACATTGCCAAAAATAGATACGCAAGCACAACAGAATGGAAGGTCTGGAGGCGAACAACTTACCCCTTCCCGCCCATCCGAGGACATGCCCCGGGTGCTTCTTGTGGAAGACAACCCAGTTAACATGTCGCTTCTCAACCGCATCGTCAGCCGGCGACAACCCCTTGTCGTGCACGAGGCCATCAACGGTAAAGAGGCCGTCGACGCAGTTGACGCGATGCCTGAGGGCTATGACTATATTTTCATGGGTTAGTTTTCCTGCCTTTGCATTCTCGGTGTAATTCATGGAAGCAGCTCTAACCTCAATAGACATTTCTATGCCCA